CCCCAAAACCCCAAAACCCCAAAACCCCAAAACCCCTAGCAATGATTTTAAGTGGAAAATTAAATCTTTACTTAAATAAAAAATAAATGTCAGGGTCGAGTGTTAAGGTCGCTGTTAGAGTCAGGCCTTTTAATCCAAGAGAGAATGCACTGGGAGATAAGTGCATTTTAAAGATGGATGGGTATAAGACTACCATCACAAATCCAGCAGATGGAAGCACAAAGGACTTCACCTTTGATTATAGTTTCTGGTCCCATGATGGCTATATTGAGGAGCCAAATGGGTACTTGAAGGCTGATCCAGGCCATATGGGTTGTCAATACAATGATCAATCCTTTGTTTACAATGTATTGGGAGAAGAAGTCCTCAACAATGCTTGGGACGGATTTCATACCTGTTTATTTGCCTATGGTCAGACAGGATCTGGTAAATCATACTCAATGATTGGGTATGGGGAGAACAAAGGAATCGTTCCCCAGTCAACCAATGAAATCTTTAATCGGATCAATAATAGCACAGATGATAACAAGAAGTATCAAGGTAAACTAAAGAGCTTCTAATATATCATATATTAGCTAGGTGCATTAGTTGTTCATTTCTCCTTAGATTCGAATAATTCTGAACTGGTGATTTATTTTTATTACTTTAAACAAACAAAGAGCATTGCATAACTGTCATACCAATTTTGATTTGAAAATGTTTCCTCTTATTAAAAGATTCTTACTAACTGCTTGTCGGCTTTATTAGCTCAATCCTAACCCTTAAATAGTAAAATGCTCCATGGTTGAGATCTATAACGAAAAAGTCCAAGATTTGTTAGTTTTACCTAAGGATCGAGTCCAGAGTGGCCTCAAGATTCGTGAAGACAAGAAGAGAGGTGTTTACATTCAAGGTGTCACTGAAATCCCAGTAGGGTCCTACTCAGAGATTGACAAGGTGATGCAGAAGGGAAATGAGAATAGATCAGTTGGGGCCCATAAGCTCAACCAGAATAGTTCTAGGGCCCACACAGTCATCTCCATTGATTTTAAAACAGTGGACACAGCGACAAAGACAGAGAGACTCTCTGTTATTAATCTAGTGGATCTTGCTGGAAGTGAGAAGACAGAGAAGGCAGGCACTACCGGAGATAGGCTTAAGGAAGGATGTGCTATCAACAAAAGTCTAAGTACACTTGGTCAGGTTATCAAGGTCCTTGCTGACAAGAGTTCTGGGAAAGGAAAGAAACAAATTGTCCCGTACAGAAACAGTGCTTTGACAAGAATCCTTCAGAATGCCTTAGGAGGTAACTCTAAGACAATGATGATCTGTGCTCTGTCTCCAGCAGGTGATAACTATGATGAAACCCTAAGTACACTTAGATATGCAGACAGGGCTAAGAGTATCAAGAATAAAGCTGTTGTGAATGAATCTCCAACCGAGAAATTAATCAGAGAGCTCAAGGAAGAAAACGATCGTCTTAAGAAATTAATGGAAAATGGAGGAGTTATACCTGGAGAAGACTCAGAGGAATTCAAGAAAATGCTTGAAGACAATCAAAAGGAAATGGAAGAAAGAGAGAAGTCCTGGCAACAGAGATTGGAGGAGGCTCAAGCAAATGCTGATTCTGAAGAAAAGAAAGCTGATCTAAATGTTCCTCATATAGCTAATCTTAGTGAAGATCCTCAGCTGGATAGACTAGCTGTTTACGATGTAACTTCTGAAGAAAAGACATATGTAGGTAGGAAGAAAGGAAAACCTGCTCCATCGATCATGCTGGGAGGACCTGGAATTCAGACTAATCATGCTTACTTTGAAAGTAAGGGAGATGACGTATACTTGAAGGCTAACTCTAAAGATGCTAAAGACCAAATTAAGGTCAACGGTAAACTAATAGGCAAAGGTGTCAAACTTGGCCACAATGATAGAATCGTCTTCGGAGCAGCTTCAATGTTTGTATTCAGACTCCCTGGAGAAAAAGATGACCTGAGCATTGACTATGAGATGGCCCAAGATGAAGTCAATGCAGAGCTTAAGGCAGAGCAAGAGAAGAAGATGGAACAAGATAGGTTGGAGGAAGAAGCTAAGCTTAAAGAAATTGAAGAAAAATATGAGGAACAGAGAAGAGAGGAGGAAGCTAAGCAGCAAGCTGTAAGAGAAGAGCAAGAAAGGAAGATCAAGGAGCTTGAAGAAAAACTTAAGACTGAGCAGGAGGAAGATGAAAAACAAAAAGCCGAAGATCAGAAAAGACAGGTAGAAGAAGAGATTAAGAGAAGAGAGGAAGAAGCTAGACTTGCAGAGTTAAAGGCCTTAGAAGAAAAAGAAGAGCAGAAATAAGTTACTGGAGAAAAAGAAGAAGGACCATCAGAGATTAGATGAAACTCTTAATACTTTGTTACCTATGGTTAAGGAGGCTAATATCTCTGCTGAGGAGCTGAAGAGAAAGATATTTTTCGAACCAACAATTGTGCATGAAGCTGATGACATACCTGGACAGTCCCCACTTGAAGAGCTTAAAAACAGTAAATCAAAGGTCAAAGTCAAGATCCAAAATAAAGAAGATGGGTATGAATATTTGTGGGACCCCGACAAATTCTCAGATAGATTGTATTTAATCAGAGACGTTATGAATGATTACTTTGACTCTGGTAAAATGCCAAAATTACCAAAGGAAGAGGATCCATTTTGGGATCCTGAAGAAGCAATCCTAATCGGGAAAGCCTACCTGTACCTGAAATCACTCGGATTTCTGTTAGATAATGTGAGTAGTTGCAAGATCATGAACACCAATATAGCAGCCTCTTGAGGATCCCTCACATGTGGAGTAGTCCCAACAGATGAGACTGGAGAAGCAGATGTATGCCCAGAAGAGTTAGAGCCCAATGATCCAGAAGATCTTATTGGTAGATCGATAGATTTGAATATCATCGTTGATAAAGCTGAGGGTCTTCCTGAGAACTTATGAAAGGATACCTATGTTAAGTTCTCTTGGTACTTGGGCAACGAAGAGTTCCAAACAAATGTGATTGAAGGAGTGGGAAAAGATGTCACATACGGATTCAAACATCATCTCAAGATCGACTGTGTCACTGAAGATCTTCTGAAATATTTCGATAAAGATGCTATCAGCTTCAGTGTCTATGGAAATCCAACCAATGCTAAATTCAAGAAAATGTTGACACAGAAGGAGAAGGAAAAGAAGAAGGAAGCCAAGAAAGAGGCTCCGAAGGCATCTACAAAAGCTGCTTATAAGGAAGAAGCAAAGGAAGAGGTTAAGAAGGAAGATCCTGCAAGTAAAGGCTCAAAGGCAGCTTCCAAGCCGAAGAGTAAGACGAATACAAAAGTTGTAAAGATGACTACTCCTGATGGAAAGGTCGTGGAAGTGGTTAAAGAGAAACAAGGGTGTTGTACCATTTTCTAGTTGAAATAAGCCAAATATGGGAATAAAATTATATTGGGGTTTTGGGGTTTTGGGGTTTTGGGGTTTTGGGG